AATTTGGCAAATTTGGACCTGAAAAGTCAGTGAAAGAAAATAAGTTTTTATCACATACCAAACATGTTGATTGAGTTGATAATATAATAATATTAAAATTATTTCTCCTTATATTGATACATCAGAGCTCAATTAATTTTATTCTCTCAGAGACTTTTAAATAAAAGTTTATTAACATTAATATATAAAAAGAATTAAAATAATTTAAAAACTAAAAAGGTATTTAAAATTAAAAAATAAATTGATATTTGTTAATATTTTGTTTTAACATGTTTTATAAATAAATAGCACTTTAAATTAGATAAATGCGAAAAATATGATTTTAAAATATTTTGACTTTAAAAATGTCAATTCTTCTTGAGGGTGAGAGCATTATTTATTTCTATCGAGCTACAAATTACTGTATTAAAAATAAATTAAACTTTGGCAGAAAATGCTAGATTTGTTTCAAATAAAAATTCAACACGAAGTAAAATTTATTGCAGTTTTCATTAAATCACTAAATATATTCTTTATGACAAAGGCATAGAAAAGACGGACCGTGGCGTCGTCACAGAAGTTAATCTGCGCCGAGAGTGCTGAAACGTAGATTGTGTCTGGTGTGTAACAAGAGAGTCCCGAAATCAATAATTGAATGAACCATCACGCGTCCTTCGTAATTCATTCACACAATGACACCTTCACCTTCTCCCCAGCGCCCATTTGCACGATTGTGTATAAATTTTTTTTCTAGGCCACGTAAGCACGCATGCACGTATATAAAAAAAAATCCGAGCGTAATTGACTTTGTGTGTACATCAGAGTGGGGGTGGGCGGGGGTGAAAAAGGGCCGTGCTCCACATAACAACGCGCTGGTGCATCGGAATAATGCGGTTTCGCGAGATGAGGCTGCGGCCTGGAGAGCAGAGGCGGAATTATCCCAGATAATGTAATAATAAATAAAGCAGCGTGCCATGTGTCCCGGCGCAACGTCGAGTGCTGCATCAATTATTCAGCTGGCAGCCAAATGCAATTATCTGGCGATTTCCTTTCCTGCGCCTGACACAGAGATGAGGAAGACCAGAAGTTGGACGTGCGTCCTGCATTTTTAAGGAAAAATATTTTCAATAAATGGGAAAGAAAATTCAATGAATAAATTTTCAAATTGTATTAGAATAGTTATTATTGAAATTTGCAAGTTAATTTTCTGATTTTTCTAAAAGAAGAAGCAACAACAAGAAACAAGAATATGAAGTAAACAATCTGGAGATCTTGAAGCGTGTTGAATTTTCATTTTCCTCTTCTGACTGTGCCAGCCAAGAATAGAATCACAAGTTGCAAACAACGCTTGAGTTTGCGCTGAATATTCAAATTCAACTGCACTCGGACTCCGTTTTTGTTGCTCCTTGAGAATACGACTCATTTCGAATTAATTTATTCACTCGAGGAGATACTACCCGCATACGAAGCGAGGCAGAGAACCTTTTTTTGTGCAGGGGAATTAAAAAAGACGCCAAATTGGGGATGTTATTAAGAAGACCGTCCCTGGAGGTGGAGAGAGGGTCATTCCATGCTAATTAACCAACCGGAATTTGCCAAGCAGCCTTGATTATAATTTAAACTGCAAATTCAGAGTTTAATTTGTTGATGCTTTATTGATTTCTCCAAAAAGCGGTTTGAATTTTTTCATGCGTGCCTGCCTCAATTCTTAAGGTCACGGCCTCTAAAAAAATCTCGTTTAAAATGACGTGGAAGGTTATCGTGTTGCTCAAAATCAGCTCCAACATCTAAAACTAAAACTAAAGATTTTATCTTTGCAGGAATAGCACATTCACCTCAAATGGAAACCAGATTTTCTCTCCATGCGAAAAGAAATGGGTTATGGGTTTTGATTTGCATGTATGTAGTGTATAATTTTGAAATAATTTAAAGCAAAATCAAAAAGAAAAATGTGACCCATTTTGCAGGAAAAAAGAGGAAATTTTAAATGATCGTTGGACTCGGAATTTATTTTTGATCTATTTAAATGAGATAAATTACTCATAAAAAAGTACTAAATTTTCATATAATTAAAAAAAAATGACCTATTTATAATGGCAAAGAACAGCTTATAGTTGAAACATGAAACTTTAGAGTTTGTTATATTTAAATTAATTAAATTTATAAATTAACCTAACAATTTAATAACCCAGCAAAGATCTTTATCATTGAATGGTAACACACAAGGTGGATTTCATGATTTTTTTATATATGAAATTCTCTCACTTTAGTTTTTAATTTTTTATGAATTTCTCCCACTTACAATTAGTTTCAGTTTAGACACGACAAAACCCTAGGCTTTTAAAGAACCACCAGACCGCAGGTCGCCTTTTGGGGTCAGTCGTCTTTTGATTTTTTTCTTTGCAACGAGGTTGGCCCGGTTTCAATTTTTCAAATCTTTACAAATCTATAATTAATTCATTTTTATTCATCTTCAAAGAAGTGAAAATATTAAGAGAATTCAAATAAATTGACCTTTACAGTTTTGCTACAAATTGATACAAAAAAGTCTCAAAATTAGCCACTGCTCTAGTTATGGTTCGCGGATCAATGTCCATTCTTGTATGCAATAATTTTGACATGTAAGTTAGTTCCGGCGGCTGATAAGAGCCATGTGTGTGCAACAACAATAACACCCACATGCATACGGGGCAATTACGTGTAAGTGGGGCATCGAACCGGCGCTCGGCAGAAAAAAGCGCGATTCACGTCGGGAAAAGTCACGGCGAGCAATTTGGCCAGTTTTGTTGTTGTGCGGCCAGCTCATCTGCGACCGCCTGCCGAGATGGAAAGTAGGCTAGCCCGCATGGCCTCCGCGACGCTCAGGTTGTCGAAATCGTCAGGCGCGCGATTGACGCATCAATGGGCCGGCGGACAGGTGCGCGCTCGAATTATTATCTCGCCGCCGCCACTACTTATCTTATCGACAGCCGCGTGATGGCCGCTTGCGAGGACGCACATCATTATTATTTTTACTGCCGATTTACGGCCACGACTGACCGCGAGAGGCTCTCGAAACTTACTTTGGTGGTGCCGAGTGGCTGTTCGCACCGGGTCATGCACTTTTCTCTCACGTGCGGTTTCCGTGCAGACCGTGAGGAAATGTGCTCCAATTTGTGCACGGCTGAAATGAACCGATTGCTGCATTAATTATGAATGTTAATGAGTGACTTTTTGCTCCAGTTTGCTGGGAATTTTATCTGGATGCAGATAAAGTTGCAATCCCTCTGCAACCCCGCGCGAAAAGAAAGTTTTGCCCAGTTTTCCCTGATGAAAACATCGACCAATGCCACTTTGAAATTTTTAATGATAAATTCTAATTCCCTCGTGATTTTTTTTTTATAGAAATTAGATTTTTTTTCTAGATTATATCTCCTTCACAAACTGTTTTGAAGTAAATGATTTTAAAATGTTGCATTCTATGTGGAGAAAATTCTATAAATTTCAATTTAGTTGTTTGAAATGTTTGCCGCAGTTTAAATGAATGAAATTCACTGCCTTGGTGCAGTGCCAGCTTCTAAATTGATTGAATTTGATCGAATTACGATTAAAAAGCAACATCAGTTTAATTAAATGTTAGTAACTCTTGAAATTTGATTAAAAAAAAGCTTTCACAATTTAATGTAATGTAACAATTTGGACCAATAAACAGCATAATTAATAATATTTTTTAAATTTCTTAACAATTCAATCATAAAATCTTAAACTGTTTTGCTGAAATTCGCAAAGATTTCGTTTTTGTTTGTCTTCTTTTGTAAAAATGATGATTTTTTTGTTTTGTTTCAGGCGCGGCTGATTTGCTAGTCCCATGGCCGCGTGGCCGCCTTCACCGTTGGTGTGCCCGCCGCCGCTGCTCAGCTGTACCTGCTGCCCTGACCGCAGCCAACCTTGGGCAGCATGGCCAAGCAGAGCCGACCTACCAGCTCTACGAGCACCGCCAGTACCCGCCGCCGTCGAGGTGGTGAGTACAGCATTAATTTTTTTGTATTTTGAATTTTATAAATTAGAATTAAGAGGAGCTCCAGTCAAAATAACATAATGAACTTTGCTTAATTTACTTTAATTTTGTGTATATTTTCAAGTGCTTGTTTTGAGACTGGAAGCGTTTTTTTTTTAAGTAATTTTGATTTTCATATTCATACATCGATTTTAATGAATTTTAATTTTCTTTTAAATGTTATAATAAGAGAATTCTTTATAAATATTGTAAAATTAACATAATGATGGTATGATTATTAAAAAAAAATGTAATATAATTTTGATATCAAATTCTACAATTTATTAATTGAATAAAATTTTGATTACATCAATTTTTTAAACTATATAAATTTCATAAATTAATTTTAACAATATCAGGAGGTAAGAAATCTCCCAAAACAATGGAAGTATTTTTTTAACTTTTCTAATAGTAAGTTTGAGACTTAATCTTCCATAGAATTTAATTTTATTTAAATTTTCAAATGTTTTTAACCTTAGAATTCTCGATGAGGTTGATGAAATTTAACCGAAAATTAAAATAATCACGGAACAATTTAAAAAGAAATAATATTAAAAATAAAAAAATAAGGATAAATTCCATATTTAAACAAAATTATCAAATTATGAATAAACAAATTTTATATTGAAGTATATAAATTAAGTTATATAACATTAACGTATCAAAAATTTCCAAAAGTATAATCAGATTAATAAAAAATTATTAAAAAAACTTTTCTTTTGCTGTCAAAAATAAAGGGTTGAAGGCTTAAAATATCGTAAAAGATAAAAACTTGCGAGGAAAGCGCCTCGCGGTGAGAGCGAGAAACGGTGCTAGTGGTGCCAAAAACGGCCAAGGCAGGTCGTCAGCGACCACTTTGCACCACCGAGCGAACACATGGTGTGGCGAGCGCAGGGGGCGCGTGCGCCCCGACGCGGGGGTTGCGGAGGACAGGGGCGTTCGGACGGACGGCGCTGCAGTATCAGAAAGTGAGTGGAGCGAAGAACCGCGTTTCGTGATGGCAGAAGCGGAACACGCTGCCCCCGAGACTGCCGCCCCCCGCCGGCCCCCGAGCCGCCTCCGCTGGTGAAATGCGCGGCCGCTGGTGAGGCGCAAAAACTGGATCTCCCGATAGGCAGCGGCGGCGGCGGGGTGGCGTCGCCGCGACGCACCAGGGCGCCGCTATGTCGCCTCATGGAGGAGGACGAGGACTCGTTCGAGCTCGAGGTGTTCGAGGTCGACGAACCGGCCACCCCCGACGAGGTGTCCGAACGCCGCACGCGACGCCACCGCCGTCGGCGCCGCGCCAAGAGTTTCGGTAGTGCGGGGCCGACACGCTCGCGCTCCTCCGTCTCCGTCTGCTCGTCGGAGGCGGCACGTGGTGACCAACCCCTCGTGCCGCCGGCAACCCCCGAGACCCCTGGAGGCGCACCCGAGGCGGCCAGACCCACAAGCACGTTCAGGTTAACACCCATTGCCATTTATTTACCTGAAAAACTAAATAGTTCGTCGTTTGGACAGGGTTCTTGGTCAATATTTGAAAAGTTTATGAATTAAACCTACATTTTTAAATTGTTTTGAAATTTGAAAAATTGAAACTGTTTTTGAAGCAAATTCAATAACGAAATTCATTGTTATTTTTGCATTTTTCTGATCAAAATTCAATGAGGGACCCTTTTTTGTAATAAAAATTACACTTTTATCAACAGATTTCTCTATCCGTATTCTAAAAAAATATATTTTTATTTTTCCTGTTTGCTTAATTTCTTCATTTATTATATAATCGCCAGTTCAATTTCTACCTTGACTTAATTAAAGCATCACAGAAGATGCGAGCCAAACAAAATTGTGAAACTACTCCACCTTTATATCTTGCTGATCATCACACTGAAATGTCTTAGATATTTATTTTCTAATTTTTTACTTTTTTTGCGATTATGCCGACCAGACTCTTTATTTATTTGCACGCTATCCCCCTCCCACCCCCCGTTCCAACTATCAGCAGTTTACTCTGTACATATTAGATTTTGGCTCATTAACTTTTGTAAGGATGAGATTTACTGTGCACTGCGCCTTGCGTCAGAATTAGATAATATACAGACTATTAAGCGCTTATAATTAATTGCGTGCAGATTTGGAACTCTCGAAACTTCTGAGAGTAGCGCAGCGCAAAATCGATTATTCTGTTTTGCTAAATTTTAGTATGGTTGCGGCTGAAGCTCTGGATGGAGATTTGCAATTAAAACAGTTCTGTTGATATGCCAAGTTGCAACTTTTATTTTCAACCATTTTAGAGTTTTTTTCTCTACATAATTTGGAAAAGAAAAAAAAATATGAAAAAAAAATGGAAAAAATTCATCCCAATTTATTACAATATTAATTATATAAATTCACTGAATTTTCAAAGACATAATAAAAACTAAGATATTAATAATGGAGTTAGAAAATATGAAATAATCTTGTCTAGATTTTCATTTAAATTATGGCTTTAAACATTTTAAACAGTTAAGCAAAATGGTGGATTTTTTTTCGTTGCAAAACAACCACAAAACTGCTATAAAGAAAAAACATTTTATGCGTTAATTTTTGTTTCTTTTGCAAAATGATTATAGTTTTTAATTTCCTGAATGATGAGCATTTGGAAAAATATAATGAAACATAAATTATTTATCTGGTAAAATATTTATTTTTGTGCAGTAATTCATTTAATTTTTGTATGAATTCCACTGCACTGTGTTATAAATTAAAATAAGTGGTAAATAATAACAATAAAAATGACAATTTTTAAATTGAAGTTGTGCTCGAAAAAGTTTGAAAATAAAAATAGGCTCACTAATTAAATTTGTAATGTGAGGAAAAAGTCATGTAAGAAAAAAATGAAAAACATTACAAATTATTAAAAAAGTACGCCATTATAATTATGCTGGAAATTGACCAAGAATCCTGCGACAAATCCAAACCCAAGTTAATCCCAACTGCACCCCCAAATTGTCAAATCTGATGGAATCGGGTGGCTGCTCAGGTCCAGTCTGCTGAACGTGCTGGGCAAACTGGTCATCTGGAGAAGTTCGAGTTCGGCCTCTGCGCGACACCGAGCGCCCCCGACCCCACCGCACAGCCTTGCGTCGACGCAACCCCCGCTGCAGCCCCCGCAACCGGAACCGTGCGAGTATCTGCGGGGCTTCCTCGCCATTGGTAAGCCAGAGCATGTATTTTGTGTGCGAGGGGCCGCGGCGAGCAAATATTACGACGTTGCGTGTCGCGCTTGCACCGAGCAGAGTATCGGAAATCTATTTCTGGCCTCGCACAAAACGCACGGCCAGAATCAAACGTTCTCACGACGCGCGTGGCTCGCCTGCACCTCCGACTTGTTATTATTATAAATAAATATCCGCCATAATGCTGGGTGGGCCAAGGACGGACCTTCTTCGCGCCTTTTCTTCCCAGGATCCATCTTGCCACAATTTATTGCTTTTCGTGCCAATGTCGTTAAAAGAAAGTTGTGGCACTTTTCTCACCAGAGTGAATAATGCAGAGGTTTTTCTTTCTCTCTCACATATTTAATACAGCAACACGACACTCACACAGCCACCTCTATTTTTTCTAACAAGCTCTCAAGTCATTTCTTATCAACCCTTTTTATGTTGAAGCATCTTTTATAGTATTTCTCCCAGTTTTGAAGTTCAAAATGAGTATTTGATAATTTTATAGATGACTTCTCTGATTATCAACTGAAAATTTTTTAAACAAGAATCTTTTTTTCCTTCTTATGCCGAAGTGGTGATAAGAATTAGAATCTTTAATCTTTGGATTAAAATGGTGAAGAGATTGTTGAAATTTTAAATTCAATATTATTTTTATTCTTAATGGAGGGCATTCTGATTGATTCTTATGACGATGAAGTTAAAAATTGCAACATTTTTTTGCGATTAAAAAATTTGATTCCGTTGATTTTAGACTTAACAGAAAAGACTAACGTCGAAGTCGGCTGGTAGCCATTCCTTAATTTTCAGTAGTATAGAAAGAGCTGAATTTACAAATTAAATTTTTTAATTTAAACCGTTTTTACATAACAAAGATAGTCAGTCACACACTGAATTGTCATAAACAAAGAAAATTAAATTTAAATGATAAGATATAATAATAAATTTAATAATTTGTAATCATTTAAAGTTAAAAAAATATATAAAAAAATAAATAATTATTACTAAATAATTTTCAAATCAACTGATTTATGTTAACATTATATTTAAGTGATTAATTAAACGTTTTGTTTTACAATTGTTGTAGCTAAAAATGTATTATTCATGTAAAATTTGTCATTTTCCATTGAAATCCTTTAAATTTTTAAATAAACATTTCATTTTTAGATTTGAAATTCTCTGCCAAATATTATCAGATTTAGAGCGTTACTAGCTCAAATTGTAGTTTTTCAAATGAAATGAAACTTTTCAATTTTATTAATTTAATTTATTTTTTACTTTATTGTAAAATGATTACGTAACACTCCATTTTCAGTCAACCTTTTCCGCTGAAATATTTTTATTAATAAACTACTAATAAGTCTACTTGGGGTAAACAACAGGCAGCAATAAACAATAAGCTGAAACCTACCCACGGTCTAAACTAGCCTCTGCTCTGGTCAAAATCGGTCCCTCTCTGAGCTAAATTGGCGTGTCCATTGCGCACGTGAGAGAGACCGGGCAAAATTAATTGCGACGAAAAAAGAGCTGGACGCGCAAACACGGCGTTTTTGCACTACGGCAGCCACACTGCGGCATATTTGGCGAACGCCCACTTTATCGACGACGACACCCGAAACTGCACCTAAACAGTTTTATCGAGCAAATGCCGGCCGGCGGATCTGTTGCCCATTGACGGGGCCGATTTCGAGTTTAATTCGACCGCGCGTGACGTCAGAGCGAGGAGAACCGGCGCTGAGAATCGACCCGTGGTCCCGATTTCAAGGACGCTTATTGGGCGGTCCGCATGTGCGCGCCGGCAAATTACCACTGCAGGACAATTATTAGTCTCGTTGTCTCTCGGCCTGTTTGTGTTTGCACTCGAGCAGCACTCGCACTTGTTAGTGCGGACCGTGACACAGATACCGGATTAATTTATGCCACTCTGAACCCGCGGCCTGATTAAACAAGGATTTTGTGGTGATTAATTATGTGTCCAAAAAAAAATGGTTAATAGTGCCTTAAATAATTTGTTTAAATAATTATTCAACACCAATTTTATTCTTAAAAGAACTAGTCAAATATGCATTATATTGAAACAGATTATAAAAAGACGTCAATTTTCGCTTATTAATCATTCTTAATTATTAACATTTTTAGTTGATAAGGCAATTTATTTACTTGATTATATTTTAAAAAATCTATATTTCCCAGCTTTTACAATAATTAATTAAAAAACTTTTAAAGAAAATAGCAAATAATTTTAAGCCTTACACAGAGTTTTGTTAATGATCAAATTAAAAACAAAATGTCACTTCGTGTGCTAATTTATCATGCTTTGAAAATAAAAGTTTTATTTGTTACAACAAATTTTATTATTTATATTTGATTAGTTCTACACCATTACATTAATTCTAATTTCTATATTAAATTTTAATTTCCCTGATTAAATATTTCTCTTAACTTTTAACAAGCCCTGCCTGAGCTGTGGAAAAATTTTAAAATATTTCCCATTGATTTTCTGCTACTTTAACAAATTTTTTCTTTATTAATTAGAAAATATAAATTACACAAGTTTTTCCTTGATATAAATTTGAAAATGCAACAAGAAGTTTAAAAATAAATATCTAGAGTTTTACTCTTTTTCTCTTTCTTTTCTTTTATTAACCGAAAATAATGCATGACATGTACTTTACCTCAAGTGAAAAAGCCCAATTTGCATGTGAATGATCTGCATGCATCTCGCTTGAGTTGGAACGCCGTGATGATCTCTGTGCCAGAACAGCGCACAGAGGAAATTTACAACCATGTATCCCCCCCATAAAAAGCAAGAGAGCGACACATGCCTGCATTTGCAGTTGCATACTCAGCAGGCGCCGTGAAAGCACAAAAACACCAAGAGAGCCGTTGCATGCTTAATTAATTATATCCCGCCGACCTTTGAGGGCTGCAGCGGAAAAGAGGGTGGCTTTTGCACAAAGAACTTGGCACATTTAACCGACGACGGTGGCTCTGAAGAAGCAAATTAAAAATTGCAGTTCGGAACTAAACACATGAAATAAATTATTAATGTAGGTGTGTATAATATTTGTAAGTGAAATATAGTTGATTTAAATATATTTTTAATTTATAAATCTGAAAAATTATTAATTTTAAATCATTTTTTACAATCCTACATGTAGCTAATCTAATAAATATTATCTATGTAATTAAAAATTATTATTTTTAACCGTTATTATTTAAATATCTTTATTATTTTTACTTTTTAGATATATTTTATTTCAAATGATAAAAGTTATTTTTTAATAATTTTTAAAATGATAAAATCTTGATTTGAAATAAGAAAATGTTTAAAATTTTATTTTTATCACATAATATACATGATTATATTCAAATGTTGAAAAAATAATTTTAAGATCACATCTCGATGAGGACATATTTTACTTTTAATGAAGATTGAACATTCTCTGTTCTACTGTGGGTGATTGAATCTTTTAATTAACTTTAGATATAAAATTTATAAGCAGAATTTTTAAATAAAATATTTCCCACTTCTTTATAATTACAAATTACCATACAGTTAATTTTTTCATTATAATTTTTCAACCTTTCTAGAGATAAGTCATAACTTTGTTCAAATTAAATTATTTGTTTTCTTTGTTTTGTTTTGAAACAGTCGTAAAACTGCTCCATAAAGTTCGGTCCAAGAGGCACATTTGCGAGCTGTTGCCACACGAAAGTGCGTCCGCGGGGTTCGTTGGTCTATTAACTATGCATGCACGTTTGATATGCAGTATAAATTTCGTGCATATGCATGAATGCTCAAACAGTATACGTGGAATGCGTTGCGCGCACACGCAGCGTGCTTAATAATATGCTTAATGCAGCAATCGCGTGTCGCTGCGGCGCCGGCCATTTACATTTATTTGGAAACATTAAGTTCGTATTTCATACATTTCGGAGCGGCGTGGGCCGATCAAACAATCGTTGATATGTGGAGCAATTTGCTTTGTGGGATTACAATCTGCCAGGGCTGCACTTTTAGCATCAAAAGGGAGAGGCGAGCAAGGTGGGCGTAATTTGGGCTCTTGGTGCAACAGAGAGAGAGAGAGAGAGAGAGAGAGAGAAAGGCGGTCTTTGTGTGCTGGATTAATAAGAGAGATCAAAAGGAAGCCTAATTTCATTTGCCTGCCCTTAGGCAAACGAAGGCCTCCTTGATAATAAGTCAGAAACTGTGGTGTTGAGATGGCGACGAATATAAACAGAAACTTCCTTCAGAAATTTGACAGTAAATATCAAATATCATCAAGTCAGCCAAACTTTGATTTACAGTTTTTTTTTACCAGCGATCTTTCATACAAAGATGTCTGCAAGAAAAACTTGACTTTAAATAATGTAATATTTAACAAAATTTAATCTTTAAATTAAGAAACAAATGTTTCTGTGAACTCAAAAAGTGTCTTTTTGTGTCTCAATTTAATTAAAAACTTATTATAAACCTGGAAATTAGGATAATAGAGCAAAATAACAGGCACGGATCGCGATTTCACCCATCAGCAGCAGGGCCCAAAACAATTCAAAACACTTCTCTACATTAATGTGAACAGAAAGAAATTTCTTGATAATTATTTGATTTTTTTTTTTTTTTTTGTAAATTTGAAGCCATTTAATTAAAATATGGAATGAAGCATCATAAATTAGAGTTACTTTTAATATTTTTTGCTCTTCAATGTAGAATGTGGCAATAAAAATTTTGGTACTAATTTTTTTTCCCTCAAATAAGTTTTTTCTGACCTGGGACGATCCCATTTCGTAGCTTCTAAAATTTTCATAAAAATTTATAGTCGTTGTCACTTCGGCGCAATAGACCGCCCGCTGCAGCCGCGTACAAATTTAACGACTCATCCGAGACCCAGATGGACATTTTTGCGACTGGCCGAACTGCCAATATGAGCGCCTGTGCACATAAAAAGTGCGTCGGCCCCGTCGAAATCAACCCGGTGTTGACACTCT